AAAGTGATACCTATTGGTCTTTATAGTTCTTTTGCACTTTAATCTGTGTAAAACTTTTAACTTTATACATTTTTCTGTATTGCTTTATTGCATTTAAATGTTCAGTTATTTTTGTTATAAGAAAAAAAGTTATTAAACCTGTTATACTGTATTATGACAGCACTTTTTTTTTAAACTAAATTTCAACATCGTGATAATACCGTATACCGTGACAAAAGCATTAGCAATTAATCGCAACATGAAAATTTGATACCGGCATATCCCTAGTCTACATTAATAATATAGTAAAATTCAATGAATATCCCACATTTCTGCCACAATACCATGGTGCAGATGTTACTAAAGTAAATCCATGGTAAATGATGGCGATTTGTAGATTGAAAAGCCTTCTAACTGTATTGCACTGTTTCTTCTGGCTTTAAACTAGTTTAAATCATCAAGTCATTTGTGTTCTTCACTGAATTGAAGCGCTTCACACTGGATCTCACAGCGCTGTTTAGTGAACGCGAGACTGAGTCTTATCAGCGAGTAAACACATCTGCTCTAGTGAGCTCACACTGCGCTGCCGTTTGAACTTTGAGCCGAGTGGATAAATGGTCCGTGTGGCGTGGTTCAAATGAGTAGAGTTGTTTTGTTCCACTTTTGGCGTGTAAACACTATATCGAACATCAAACGAACTCATGTTATCATTTTATCGAGGAAAATTATATCGTGATAATTACCGTTATCGTTTTATCGTCCAGCCCTGCGACTGAAGGTTAACAACAAAAAAATGAGGTAAAATTTGGCACAATGGATCTTGATGCATCACATTTGAATACATTAAGATAAAAAGTAAGTTGGTTTGGAACAACATAATTTTCATTTTTGGGTGAACAATTTCTGTAGGATTAAAATAAAACATTGACTCTCGCCCAAAATGAATTTGTATGCTTTTCACTTTGTTTGTCTGGGTAAATATTCACATCTGTGGCTCTCGTTTTGCTTTTGTCTTATCTATAAACAGGCTGTTTGTCAGGTTGAATAGATGTCTCTGGTGATTGAGTGATGAGTTAGACTGGGTGTGAAGATTATTATTTAAATGATGACATGCACAGAAGCCATGGAATCAACTGAGTGATTAAGAGGCCATTTTCTATGTTAATGACATTAGCTAGCTCTGAGATAATGGCAGCTAAGTGCTGAGAGCCAGCAGATGCTCTCAGAACCAGACATGAGCTGTGTCAAACACTCCTCATATTGCTCCGCTGAACTGCTGCTTTTATTTGTGTTAAAAAAAATCTAGTTACAGTTATACTTGCAGTACATTTCTTGTTAGAAATGCAATAAAAAATTTTGCAATGCAGGTTATTGTGTGTGGCATTTAAGGTGCACGTACTGCCTTATAAGTAGGATTGGGTATCGTTTTTTTTTTTTTTTCCCCGATACTGGTGCCAAATCGATACTTTTAAAACCGTTCCGGTGCCTGAACCGATACTTATTAAAAAATAAATAAATAAAAATTCCCCCAAAAATGATGGATTGGCCATTAGCACTATAAACACATGATGTCTGTTTCATCATACTGGACGCCAGAGGGCGCCCTCACATAAAAAATCCACATATCCTGTCAGAGAATGACCTTCCAGGAAATTGCTTATATGGACAAAGGCATGCTATTATAGCTGTAACTGAGTAAACAGAACATATACACGTTTTGAATGATAAAGCAAAGACAATAAACACTCGACTGCGACAATATAGTTTTTCTGTGTTATTCAAGCCATCTCTGGTATTTTCATAATAATTAAGTATATTTATAATCCATTTCTAATCAATGTATTCT